AGAGGCGTTTCTTTCTACCCCATCATCTATCCATCCTTGTGAAGAAATACATAGGAACAATGCTAAGAGCCCCTTCACAGAAAAGATCCACCCAGTCTGCTGCTTATCTATTTTCAGGCAAGCAGAATCAACCTTTTTCATTCCACCCTGCTTTTAAAGTATGACCTAGGTTTAAATTCACTGCTAGTGCCTTTAAATACCCTACAGATATCCCTTGTAATCATTGTTATTGTCCTAATGGAGGGATGAGCAAATTTTGGGGGGGCACTGCTGGTGACACTGCGACATCACTGGAAAAGGTAAGGCCAAGCATTTGAGATCTTTTGGGTTTTTTGGGGGGGGTAGGACTGCCATATCTAGGCTGCAGAAATCTGGGGGACTATCACTGCCATCTAGTGGTCACCCAGGTTTTGCAGCCCAGATAGGGCAACCCTATTTGGGGGGAGGCATTATGGAGCAAAATGGGTGCCTTAAGATATGCAGAGGTTTGAAGTACCCTTTCCCCCTTATAGACCTCCCCAGAATTAGAAAACTGGGCCTAATTTGTTAGGGTTTATACTTCTGAAGGGTTTCTATGTGTGTTTTAAACCTGCACCAACTTAAAGCATTCATTGTATCCCCAGTCCTTCCCAAGCCCTCCAAAATTCAAAAAGTTTGCTCCTGTCCTCTTTTGTAGGAAAGTCACAAATAGAGTGCTGGGATGTCATACGCAGCTTGAGAACTGCATGTTGCTTATCCATGCCTGATTTCTATTTGGGAGATTATTTGTAATTGTTTAAATAGAAAAAAATCTTAGAAGAGTAAGTGATTATAAACTGAATCTGAATCAGCAATGTGCTGTGACTGCAAAAAAGACAAATGCAATTTTAGACTGCATCATAGAACTATAGTTTCCAAGGCAAGTAATATTCCATCTTATTCTGTAGTGATCATCTCTCTTCCCCCTCCCCTCCGATTTCAAATATTGTGTCCAGTTCTGGGTACCTCAGTTTAAGAAGCATTCAACAGACTACATCAGATGTAGAGAAGGGTAGTGAAAGTGATCAGGGACCTGGAAACTAAGTCCTATTAAGAAAAATGGAAGGAGCTGAGAATGTTTATCCTTGAGAAGAAGGATATGATAGCAGTCTGAAAGGATGCCACATAGAAGTCACAACCTGTTCTGTATCACTCCAGGGCACAGAATTTAGAGTAATGGATTTTAGTTACAAAAATATGAATTTCAGTTGAATGGTAAGGTGGAAAAGTCCTAATAGTAAGAGAGTTCAAAAGCAGAGCCAGTTGTCCCAAGTGATGGTGAGCTTACCTTTACTGGATGCAGCAGAAGCTGGACAACCATCTGTCAGGATCTCAGTGGCCTAAATGACTCCTTCTGATTTCATGATTCTATGATATACAAGGCTTTAATTTTAGACTACCTGTTGTTCACATTTGAAAAGTGAACTGGTATGCAATAAACACTAAGTATGCAATTTGATGCATCTGGAAGGACAGTATCATAGAAAAACATAAAGTCTTTGTTGTCAACCATTTGGAACAACAAGTGTTGTCAAATCAATGCACAGAGACGTTGGCTACACTTTGAATAGAACCATTTGGTAAGATGGTGCCCTACACCTTTTCTGCACAATATCCTCCTTTCCCTTTAAGTAACTACAAGGTAAAAATATAGCCCCAAGAGGGCAGACAGGAGTCCCAGCAAATTCAGTTTGCTCATGTGGTACCTTTGTAAATGAAAAGGACTAAGCAACACTTCCAAATGAGGGCCTGGCATCCTTGCTTGGTGTGAATCCACAGTGGAGTCCTTTCATTGTGGGTCACTGTGATTTTGAGCAAAGTGGTGGACATTATGGATGCATATATTCTAAAGACAGTTGTACTTGTTTCTTTTCAATGCACCAGGAATTATTTAATATTTTTTTCACACTAGACAATTTTGATTACATGCTCTGATAACTTGTTAAATAATTACCGAAATGACCTTTTTTTTCCTCCAAAGGAAATTGATCAAGTAATAGATGATTATCTAAATGGAGTTCTTGATCAGCTTGCTCCATAAAAATCAATGAAGAAAGGAAAGTAGAAAAAATTCTGTGTTCACACATGTTACAGAGTAGCACATTTAACTATGGAGATTGCAATCTAACTTCAATATTTCTGTATAGACACCCATGGGTGAGCCAGGATCTGAAGTCCATGTAGAAGAGTTATCCCAGCCTCTGGTAGACAGTCATACTCATGCCTCCACTAGGTATTAGCTTTTCAGGTTACAGTCCAAGTTATCTGGTTATGCAGATATAACTAAGCAGAGAAGCTCTGAAACATTTTTCTGAAGCTATGAAACACCTTCATGTAATTTCATCATTCATATATGTTCTTATGTACCTATAAAAGGCTGATCATTGCAGACTATCCCACCCAAAAGTCATATATGTTAAAGATGCTTTTGTTGGTATCTTTGAAAATGCAACAAAACTCCATTAAAATGAATTGCAATTCAAAATGTAAATTCTTATTTATCCATAAAATACCTACATAGTTTGATCATCTGTTCTGTAATAATCCAGCAATGAGCTGCCACAAAGAAGTTGGTCGAGTGTGCAGGAGTTTTCAAAAATGCACATAAAGTCTTACAGTGGGAAAAGCCCATGCCATTTTTAACTAATTAAGTCAAAAGATCTCATCTCTGACTCCAGCAGCATTTTGATTAAGACCTGGAGCTTTAACACTGGGGACTACGCAGAACAAAAAGGCTTACAAAAACGTTCCTTCAGCTGAAGTCTTCTGAAGCTAATAAAAAACACAGATGTCTTGAGTGTTACAAATTGAGTATATCAGCCTCAGAGCCTTAATACTATGACTGCCAAAGTATGCCTTATTTCTGGTATTCATTCAAAAAATGGCCACACATCTAAATGTGACTTTCTTATAGATGACAGAAGTGACTGAATTACTCCAGACCCAATAACAAGGAATTATCTATTTATTACTTCCTCACTTTTTTCTTGAGTTTCCACTCTAGTTGCTATAAAATGTAAGGCAGAAAAATTATGCTAAATAATTATATTTTTTAAAAATCCACCGAAAAGAAGGACCTTTGTAAAATTTGCTCAGAGAGATTCAGGTACTCAGCAATAACTTACAACCTCCATAATATTGGGGACTGTTCCTTAAACAGGACAAGTTCCATTGTTCCGCCTTAGGCATTTTCATATATTAAAAAGCCTTCCTACAATGGAACAATCGCATCTGGATGAGAAATTAGTTTAGAAGTAACCCATTGGTTTTTAAAGAAGTCTGGACTTGCTATTAAAATCAGCGTTCTGTTATTAAACAAATCATCTGCTATGCAATTTAGCAAATATCACGGGTGGTCACATAAACTAATTTTATAAATAAATATCAATATATGTTTTGTTTTTTCTGATCATTTTTCCATCTGGTAATTGTTGGAAGTTCAAAATAGCTCATAATGTTTTTAAAAACAAGGGACACAATGAAGACCTGATGAAAAAGACAGAATGAGTATCAGATTTAAAATTTCTTGCAGTCTTGAATAGCTTCCTAAAGGTTAAAGGGATCAGCTTTGATTGGCCTCACTTTACAGATTGGGTGCATATAAATAAACTAGTAACCTAACAGACTCTGTGCAGGTGAAGTCTCAGAGGAATTAGAAGCAGAACATTCTGATTGTGTACTATTATCTGAATCTCTGATACTGTAAATATTGTGTGAACTTGTGCAGGGACCTGGCAAACCGAGGTCTACAATTTATTTTACAATTTCTAATGCAGTATATTATTAAATATTCCATAAAGCTTGATTTTTGGGATGAAAAACCCTCAATCTTTTCTGCGTTTTTCTTCTTTGGCCATGATTCAAAATAAGTAATTTCTCCTATCTGATCAGGAAACACAGCTTTATTTAAAATTTGTAACCATAGCACTTGTTATTATTAAATGTAGGAACTTCTGTTTGGTTTAAAGTAGTGTTTTGCTTCTTCAGCAATCTGAGATGCTATAAAGAGAAAACAAACCAATTGCCATCAGAAATGTTTGGCTGTAGGGAAGTCTCAGAATGAATTCATGGCAAATGGGGCTGGAAAAAACACTTGTTTGAAGCTCTAGAGAACTGCTCACGATTAGTGTTAACAACACTATGCAACGAGACTAATGGCACTTCTACACTGTCACTGTCTCCATTCCTCAGTTCCTCAAAACCTTTATGAATGAGCCGCAATCACTTCTGCTACTCAGAATCGCCAAGTACAAGGACTGAATCATTGTGCTGCCCAAGCTGTGGCAGATCTTGTAGCAACTGAATTCCTCTTGCCTGACTCTGCACAAAGAATGAAGGAGGACCAAAGCAATCTCCTGCTTAACACCTGGCTTGTTACCTGCCAAAGAGGAAAATGAAGTGCAGGATGTTGCCAACTTCACCTCTGTTCATTTCACCTGAGCTACTGAGGAAGTGATGCAGAGCTGTCAAACCAGCATTTCGCAACAGAACCTGCTAGGACAGCTAACCTCAGAACCCAGCAAGAAGGTCGAGGCCTGAATTCCCTCCAATTGCATCCAAATTCCAGAGAGCTCCAGTTATTGCAGCTGAAGACCAGTTCTTCTGGCACCACAGCTGAGCTGTAAGTCAGCTAGCTCAGTTGCATGGGGTCATAGAAATGAAGAGCCTGTTCAGCAGCAGCAAATCACCCTGTGGAGGGAAGTATCTTAATGCAGTTTCCTAAGCTACTAATTGTGATTCATGCAGAAAAGGTTGCTTCATGCATCTATACAAGCATTTTTGGAAGGCGCAATAACGCACAACAGACATGCCCCCAGAACCGGTTGTTACAAACTTCCCTAGATCTAGGCAAGCCAATTAGGAGATTTCACATTATCTACCCCTGCTGATAATACGCTGAACAAAGTGGTCTGATGACACTCTGCACAAGGGCAGATTCTAAAAAAAAAAAAAAGATACGACATAAGCAGAAAAGACCATACTTTATATCCAGGTTTTCTCCCTCGCTTCTTTGGGATCTTCACAACTGGCAAAGAACCAGGAGGCGAAGCGTAAAGATTATGAACGGCCATTTTCATGGGACTTGAATGGAGTGGGGGTCTTCCTCTTTTTCGACCTGGAATTCTCGGGGACTGCATGTCAACAGAATCCAGTCTTGGAGGCAGTAACGGCAAATGATTCATAAGTAAAGGAGCTGCAAATTAAAAAAAAAAAAATCATTGAAAAGTGAGGATATATTTGGCATGCGTAACATAACCATCCTATTATTTCCTATCATGATAGGTGGCATTAGGTGAATAAGGAGTAACCATAGTAAGCAAAAGAAAAATAAAGGCACGTGATAAGAAAAGGGAAAGGAAACAGCTAACTACAGTTGACACCAATACCATTCACTATACCTCTCCATACCTTTTTATCCTTGCAAACAATCTTTCTTCCACCATGTCCATACACTGCTTGATATATTGGTTTTGTCTTTTAAACTTTTCACCTTTTTTTCCCTTTTTTTGAGGATCTCTTCCATTCTATCCCACCATGGCTTTCTTAGTCTCCCCTTCTTCTCAACTCATGCACTCTTCCTTCACACATTTGTTTTTCAATTTTGTCCTCATTAATTTTCTCTGTATGACTAACCACCTCCACGGACTCCTTTTGTACTGATCGCTCATTTATATTATTGTAATCCACATTCAGTTGACACCCATTCACTCTTGATTCTCTCTCTTCTTGTTTGACAACAAACATTTCTTAACCATCCAATTCCCACCACATTCAACTTATTTTTATGTTTTTCCAGACAAACCCTCACTTCCATATAATAGAGTAGAAAGAAGCCTGCTCTCATATCCACCCATTTTCACTTTTTTGTCATTTATTCCTCATAACAGACACATACTACCTCCTACCTTTCTACCAGCATTTGTATGTCTTAAAATTTCTCCATCGATTTTCTCATCTTTAATATACATTCTTCCAAAGTACACAATTTCACCTTTTATGTATAAATTGCAATTGTTCACCATTTTCCCTGTCAAACACAACTACAAGATCTTGTGCTTTGATACATTTATTTTCAGATCCATACTCCTTGCTGGATTATACAGTTGTTTAATATTTGCTGCAAATCATTCAAGTTCTTAGCCAACAAATGACATCACTGGCATACAAAAGTAATTGCATATTCATGTCTCCAACCAGCAATCTTTAATGTCACTACAAGCATTCTTTATATATTTATCCACACTTTCATTAAACAACCAAGGGAATCACATATAATACTTGATTTAGCCCATTAGTTAAGCATTCCATTTATCTTCACAGATGCTCTGTTTCCATCAGATACAACAGTTATTGCATCTAGAAACCAACTTTCAACTCCATATTCATTCCACACATTCTATAATTCAAGTCTATTTGCTTTATCATACACCTAAATTAAATCAAGACATGTACAATAAAATGTCTTTCTCACATTCATATATTTCTCAGTGACCTGCCAAAGAGCAAAAATTTGGCCTGCACATTGCCTTTCTGACATAAAGTTACACTACACTTCCTAAATATTGTTCTTTACCACCTCTCATATCCTTTCAATCAAAATTGTGCCAAATACCTTCCCAGGCCCACTTAATATGCCAATCCTGGGCAGTTTTTGCATTTGCTCACGCTACATGTCCCTTTGGATGGGGGAACAATAACAGCATACTTCCAGTTGCCTAGCCTAAATGGAGTCTTCATTCACACATGTATTTTTCAATGATTTCTTCATGGGCACTAATATTTATAGCACAAATATCACTAACAGTCCTCCTTCCCTTTTGACTCCAAGCAACTGCCTGGACAAGTCCCTGCAGTTTTCTTCGCAAGATATCGGAAGTGGTTGGCCCTTGCCTCCTTCCCAGGACTGAGAGAGAGCAACTGGCCCAAGGTCACCGAGCTGGCTTTGTGCCTAAGGCAGGACTAGATCTCATTCTCCCAGTTTCTAGCCTGGTGCCTTAAACTAAACTGGTTCTCAGAATTCCCATACAAATCTCTAAAAT